AATCGAACCACGGACCTCTGGAATACCGGCCCAGCGTGCAGAACCACTACACCACGAAGGACGGTAAGAAAGTGGGAGAAATACCTTATAAGCTAGTAGCCTAAAGTTTTGGCCCAAATTTCGGCTTTGTTTACAAACTACAAACCGTTCATAATCATTTAAACGAATGCAAATCAAATCAAATGATCCTTTACCAGGTATATAACACTAGAGAGGTCTTTTATTAATTACAATTATTACAATAATGTAGTATTTTAATCTATTGGAATTTATATCGGTTAGATATAAATATAAAAAAAATTTTTAAATTATTACAAAATCTGATGTGTACAGCACATGACTTCCTTGCACGAAATATTAAATTGTACGCATTTTTTCTTGCATTTCATTTAAACTTATTGGATTGAATTAAATCTACTCCGTCGATAGCGCATAAACCACAACAGCATAAATGTACTCTTTAAAATTCACTCTATTTGTTTACCATAGCGACACTCTGGCGCTAGGTTCACTTAACAGCGTCACATTTCGTCCATATCATAGCTCAGAATGCGTATAAATTTATACCCTTTGAAGAATTATATAATCGCTGCCACATGTTCTATTCAATTACTATAATAAATCTAAAACGATGTGTAAAAGAAATTAAGCAAACAAAACAAAAAAGAAACAGTTTTTCATAGACGATTCAGTATTTCTCATCCAATTAATTCAGTTCTCACTTCCCGACTAGGCAAAAATACATAAAAACTCAAAATATCTATATTAAAAATTACGAAGTATATCTGAAACACTTATTTCCTCGAATAAATTCCAGAAAGGATTAAGCATGATTTAATTCGCAATAATAAAAGAAGGCGTTATCTTTGTTGTTGCGAAGCTTAGTTTCTCTAGATTGGCAACAAATCTGCTATTTTGCCAAGTTTAAAATGTAAACAAATATGTGCGCCATTGCAAAATTCATTAGGCTTAGCTGTAATTAAACAACTTTTAAATTGCTGATAACTCCACAAATATTGCATGCAGATTTACTAAAGGCATAAAAACCTTAACCTGAAGATAAGAACAACATAATTCAATCATTTTCGAAGCAAAAAATGCACAATTTACAAACGTATAAGATTAAAGAAACTGAGCTAACTGAGTCGGGTAACAGAAGGGATATGTAACATTAAAAGCACAAGGAAATGACGGAACAGAGTAGATGCGTGCTTAGATCCATATTGAAAGAAGAATTTTGATTGCGTAGTATTTAAAGAACTTGGCAGTCGAGGCAGTTTGAATTCCATTTTTATTTCCATTTATTTATTATTGATATTTGTGGCCACAATCACTTGACACTCTAGTCGTGCCTTTCCACAGAGGATTTACATTTTTGATATTGCTGAGATAGAAAGCAAGCCAGCGAAATTACATCTTAGCAGAGTAGAGGGCAAAAGCTGAAGTGCGTAGTTATGAAAGATGGAAGCACGCGAAGAGAAAAGTTTTGGTTTGCAATTCGGTGATTGGTCGTCAAGAGGCATCTGGTATTAACGGTTACGTAAGATCGCATGATTAATTTGAATGACGCAATGCAGGTAAGTTATTACGATTTTAGAATAGAAAGGAAGAATTAATGTTTATAGTTATAATTCTGATTCATATAATTTTATCTTACATATTTCCCCCCTTCAAAAAGAAAAAAGCGTAGCGACAGAGAAGCCTTTTTAAAGAGAAAGAGTTAAAGCACTAGCAAATGTAAAAAAAAAAAAAAAAAAAAAAAAAAAAAAAATCATAAAATTTTTGTCTTGTAAAGTATAATTTATAAATATCAAATTTTATAAAGTAATTTTTTTAATTTTTAGAGTCCTATTGAATTTTTCAGCATTTCAGTCCAAAAGTCTTTTGTTTGAGAAATTCACATAATCATAATTCTTCAGGAAAGGTTTCTGTTATTACAGAATATCACAAAAATTTTTACATAATCATTACTTATAATTAAATGTAATGCACATAAATATTTATGATACTAATATCCATATTGAAAAATTATATTTTAATAGGAGTAACAGTTTCAGAAATTATGGTTTTCACCGTTACCATCTTTCATTTACAATTCCTGATTTTACGAAACTGGAAGCCTCGCAATACTTCTAAACAAACATATCCATCAATAGGGCTGTCCTCGTGAGCTAACCAGCGTGTTCTCTGCACTGGTGGCCCAGGGTGCCTAGGCAGTTACTTGAAAAGGCCTCCGTTCCTTGCATTAAGGTAAACTGGCCTTTGAGAAACTGCCACTAATACATTCCATAATAAAAAACATATAATAAATAATAATATAAAAAATTTACATGCATTCATAAAATGAGAGCCTCCACATTATCTTGCATGAAGAGAACTGTAATGTTTTTCAGTTATTCCAACACATCGTGGCGAATGGTGAGGCTATTCCCATTACACGTTCTGGCAAGATGGTGACGAAGCTGGGATGATTGAATCACGGAGAAAAATGACGACTCAGGACTTTTCACTTTAACAGCAAGCATATCTTTATTTTAATTTATAGCATGATTTTTTTTCCAGATGAAGTTAATCAAATACCTTATTCAGTAATTGAACTATTAGATACGACTGACTTTAAAACTTTATACATCACAACGTTCTAACAAAGAAAGAGCATAGCGGAAGTGTTAGCAGGACGAAGGCGAGAAGGCATCTGTCTAGGAGAACTTATGACTCAGCATTTATATGAATGGTTATGTAACAGAGTAGCTTCTAGAAAAATGTAGAAACTTATGACGCAGCATTTTATGAGGAGGTTATGTAATAGGCGTGAATGTTCTAGCAGGTACTGGGTTAAGGGACGATCCTGAATTGCAGAAAATAATTAAAGGTTGCTGGTTCGCAAAGAGCAAAGCCATCGTATTTTTTTTTTTATTTTACATCTTCCCCCCCCCCCCCCAAAAAGAGGCCGGGGTGAGAAAAGCATTAGTACAGGAGTGAAGCAAAAGTATGAGAAAAGACATGAAAACATCCAGAACATAGCGTACAAGCTTTAACAAACTATGGCCTATCATAGTTCATGACTTTCTCATATAAAATTTTGACTTATAGCATATGAAATTTTGAACATTGAAACTATGAGTTATAAATAACTAAATATACAATATATGACTAATTTTAAAACTATAATATAATAAATATGGAATACTGATAAATAAATAAGTTATAATTACAAAAGTCCTCAATTTTGTTAAAAATGTCCTTTTTTTTTTTTTTTTTTTGAAAGTCCTTTTCATAAAAAGAGTGCGAATAGAATGAAAATATCTGGTAAAATCTCTAAATGCCAGATAGTCCACAAATATGATGCATGTTGATAGTTCACAAATATGATGCATTTTTTCCTCTCATCGTAGGCAGTTAAAAATTGACATATTTTACACACACATATATATATATATATATTCATATATTTATATACTTTTGGTGAGGCCGATTAAACCAAAATAGGAGGTGCACATCTACATGTTATAGCAGTCCTACATACAAAATTGCAACGTTTTGAGACTACTTGTTTTTGAGTTATGCGAGATACGTTCGTACATACGTATGTACGTACATGCACGAAAAATTCTCTTCAGAATTCATTTTAAATCAGTTATATAATTTTTTTGGGGAAAAAGAGTCCTTTATTATGTCCTTACTTGCGGATGTCACGCACAAACATCATTAAAATTGCATTGGATAGCGGTCAAAACCGATATTTTCGTTGAAATATGATACCCGAAATTTAAGGAAGTAAAAAGGAGTTAGCTACTTTTCTACCGCTCAGTTTATTAAAACAATTATTAATTGATTTAATTCGAAAAGTAAATTAAAATTTGTGTGTTTTGTGGAATGGCACTTACCTGAGAAGTGGTCGTCAGAGTTAGTTAGCATCTTAGTGTTTAATATCTAGTATAAATCAATTATTAACAGTTTAATTAATTAAAACAGTTATTAGCAGTTTATTAATACTAGAAGTAGGGAGGTCATTCTGAAACTTTTGAAATACTCTCAGACGATAAGCAGAGTGGCAGAAAAATTAACGATTAGATTTGAAAACGTGTAGTCTATCAGACGGTTTGTTGTAAGCCATCTGCAAGTAATTTAATGTAGAATAAATTTTAGGCTGAAGGAAAAGTGGAGTTGGCACGAGAACATTATTGCACTATGATTTTCTATGAATTTAAAGTAGGATTAAATCAAAAACGATGCGTTCAACGCCTACAATTAGCATTTGGAAATGAAGATCCATCTCGTGCTGCTGTATTCAGATGGTTTATAAAATTTCACAGAGGTTGCAACTCTATTCAGGGTAAATAACACAGAGGAATGCCTTTCTTACCAGTTGTGCGGATAATGTGTCTTACATAATCACTGCACCTACCAAATGATACAGAAGAAACTTACAATGGATCCACCGTCATATATAAAATTGTTTATGAAGAATTGCAAGTGAAAACAGTAGTTCGCCGTTGGGTTCCCCATAATTTTACTGAGCACCAAAAAGAGGAGCGTGACAGAATCGGTAAAGAAACCCTTAAAGCCCATTTTTTCTTGAAATGGGCACAAGGCATTTTTAGGCTTTGGCCACTACTAAGGCTTGAAGCAGTGGCCATTTTATTATGGAGGCATCTAATAGGCGGCCGCCATTACCTTCTATGTGAAGAGACAGACAATTTATAGCCATGCCTTTCCTGAAATTCGAACGCGGGCATGCAGAGTCACTAACCACTTACCCGTCTGGGCGGCAGTTAGGGAACGTTTATGGTATTTCTTTGAGTAATAAAATTAAAAGCAAACTATTTGGTAGCAAGCGACAGTACAATTCAAAATAGCTAAAATTGGCACCAATCTATATCTCAAATATCTCATCAATTTCTTTCATTGTTACTTATGTTGAAAAATAAGATTTTATGACTTCCGAAAATGATAGAAATTACTGAACATTATACATGAATCTTAAAAAATTATGAAAGTAATATTTTGTACAAAATATTTTATTGCTGTACATTTATTACAGTTTTTGTTTATGCGATAAATATACAATAGGCATGAAATGAATGAATTTAGTGAATAATTTTATACATACAAATCGTTCTTTATAATGTAAAGACGAATTCTTTATATACAACCCTGACTTTGTTTTATGAGTTATATTAAATGTATGTTTTTCCAAGTTTGTATTAAAATTTAGTTACACGTTTGCGTATGTTGTTATTCCTAGTATAATTTATTAAATTTTTGTCAATAGTGAGATCACGATTCAGAAATTTTTAAATTTTCCCAATATTTATTTTAACTTCCAATATTCCCAATATTTTAAAATTTTTCCTTGGAGCTCTTTAGGAGAGTAAGGAAAATTTTTAAAATAATGGATGTCGTCATATGAAATTTCATGAGAAAGTTATAACTAGAAAGTTTCTCATGAAGATGTAAAATGCGAACATGAGTAATTTTGAGGTTTATAGTATGAATAAAATATTAAATACAGAATTTGTGCTTATAGCAAAATGTCTCTAATTTGTCAGGAACTATACACTTTCACTTATGTATCCCACGAGAGGATATAACACGCTGAAATGGCATTGCTGCTATTCAGATCCAGCATCCATACCCGATGATTGTGTCTTTTAGATAATTGAAAAGATCGGAATGGTGACATTGTTGAGTTGTTGCCGAATGACGTGAGTCACTTGGGCTTCAGCTACGGGTATGACAGCCTTAGGATCCTCGTTGATTTGATACGTTAGAAGCATAGCTAAGGCGGATGTGAGGTTACCAAGACCTCGTAGTCGAACAGTCACGTGACCGAGTTTCCAGATCTTGAGCCTGGAAAAGAAAATTGTTAACTAAACACTTTTACATTATTATGAACAAAACAGCTACACTACTAACAAAGTTTCACTCATAGAGAAAAATATGCGTGATCCATAAAATCTGAAAATAAAGTTATTTGAAATACAGGGTTTGTCCGGAAAGTAGTAGGACTGAATTTTAAAAAAATATTCCCAAGTTTGACACATCGACTTAATAGTTTTCAAAATATATCCCTTGCGCATCAACACAGCGCTTCCAGCGACTCTGCCACGAATGCTTAGAAACTCCCTGGAAACGCATAAATTGCAATGCTTTTCCGCTCCCTCGTTACAGCCTCTTGAATGGCTTAGACCGAGCTGTGATGCCGTCCTTTCAATGACCCTTTTCAGTCGAGGTAAGAAATTCTGAAGGAGCGACATGTGGGCTATGGGGTGGCTGGGGAAGCTGTGTGATGTCATATTTGGTCAGGAAGTCCATGGCAGCAGAGGCAGTGTGGCTCAGCGCATTGTCGTGATGGAGCCTCCATGAACCAGAGATTGCCGGACGGACCCGGGCGACTCGTTTTCTGAGTCTGAGGCGGTCAGAGTTCAAAGAATTTCGCCCTTTCGTTATCGTCCAGTTTTCGCCGTTGCAGGACATCCTGACTTGCTCATCTTCAACTTGCTATCTTCCCTCCCGAAAACCTTTGTGCCATCCGAACACATATGATCGGCCCATGACATCACTCCCATAAGCGATCTTGATCCTGTCTGTTTGCTTGCAGTTTTACTAAGTTTGACCCAAAACTGGATACAGCGTTGCGCTTCACCGCGTAACGCTGCTCTAATTAACGATTCATTTTGGAGATGAGAAGGCACTTTGAAAGGGGTTCACCTTAAACTCGATCTACGCTCAAGTGTAGGCTTCTTAGACTACTGGCGACTGGTGCGCTTTTAGCTAAGATCTCCCACACCCCAACCAGTGCAGTAATATCCCCTCCTTCGCCGCGTTTTGGCGGGAAAAATCAATCCTACTTCTTCCCAGACAAACCCTGTAGTACGAATGCTTAGAGGTGGAGCGCGAGATGAAAACTGAGTACGTCCATGTGATAGTCATGTAAAGCAATATTGATATGATAATTTACTAAAATATGTGCAGAAGTTTCAGGAATCAAGTGAGATTTTGAGAATTTGATACTCTCACCTGTCTAATCTTTGCCGAGTCTCTCCAGAAGGTGTTGTGAATTGAGTAAGTTGTACGAGGACAATTACTTCTCTGATGCGGATGTCACCATCTCCGTTGAACAACAGTAGCCTGTAATCTTGTAGAACTCTGTACTTCACATTAACTCGCAGGTTCTCCAGTCGGACTACTAGACCCAAAGTGGTGCTGCAACAAAATGTTTATTTATTCAAGTAGCATAATATCTCGCAAACAGATTTCCTATGATTTAAAGCTATTCATAAGTTATTAGAGATATTCATGATGAAGTTTAATTCAATCATTCACGAATAATTGTAATCAGAACTTGTATTGGAACTGCGGACAACAGCTCATTTTAAGGCGCGCTCTGAGTTACACAGATTAAATGGAACGGGTTGCCCCTATTACCACACCACCCTAGTCAATCTTTGCAATTTATACACTTGAATATACTGAGTATTTCAGAAAATTGGTTACAAACTTTCAGGAGAGATAGAGTACACCTACACGATGGAAAATAACATAGCAATGCATCGTCGAAAAGGCTTTCCTGGCGCGGTAGTGACAACACAAAACACAAGATAGGAAGAACATGGACAGGAGAAGAAAACATGTTTATTATGCCTAATGCAGCAGAAATCAAGAAACAGAACAAAAATAGACAACGATCGTCATCAAAGAAGGTGTTCGAAATTACGACCCCGGACCCTGATGCAAGCCTCAATCTCCGGCACATGGAAGATCTGTGTACCGAACTTCTTCAGCAGCTGCCAAGTTCCTCAGGATTTCTAACGGGGGTTTCGTACACCAGTGTCTTGGCGTACACCCAGAGGAAGTGGTCAATGCAAGTGAGGTCTGACAATCTTGCACCAGACCACCCTTGCCGATACAGGACTCACATCTCCGGCACATGAAAGATCTGATGTTCTGAAAATATCGGGCATGTCCCAAACTTCCCCAGCAGCTGCCACGATGCATGCAACAAGTGCCTCAGCATTTCTAACGGAGGTTTCGTACACCAGTGTCTTGACGTACCTCCAGAGGAAGCAGTCAAATGCAAGTGGATGTGGCACGCCAATGCACCCGACCAACCCTGCCGATCTCATATTGAGGAACCTTTCAAACGTAATTTCGAACACCTTCTTAGATGATGAATAACCTTTTTTGTTCTTACTTCTTGGTTTCCGCTGCACTAAGCGTAATAAACATACATCCTCACCTTGTTCATATCCTTCCTTTCTATAGTTTTATGTCAACATTACCGCTCCAGAAACACGTTTCCGACTGTGCATTGCTATGTGTTTTTCCATCATCTAGTGTATCCTACCCCTACTGCAACTTTGTAACCGATCTGCTGAAACACTTGCATAAGTGGACGCGTAGGAAACGCATAAAATAAATTTTTGTATAAATTGTGAATAATACATGCATATATTATTTACAATTTAATAATAATAATAAAATTAAATAATTTTTAAATTCATAATTTTTAATGTGAATTCCTATGATATGGTACTTACGGATTAGAAAAAATTCAGAATTATCTTTTTAATTAAAATGCTTACATTGAAAAAGAGAACATGTACCTTAGTTTTCAGCACAAATTACTCTCTTTCTGTCCTGTCGTTTAGTTCCTTTTTTCAGCTGATAATCAAGCATTTTTTTGTCAGCTGAAACAGCCTCGCTCTATTTTTCTTAACACCATTACACTTATTTTTCTCCCTTTATTTTTTTCATAGTAATTAATTATATATTTATTTCTTTTAATCGCCTTTTAACAGCCCTCTCAACATTTTATTTGACTATTGACTTTATTTGACCCTACTAACTTTTTATTTGACTGAATATCTTGTCTATTCTTCGCCACAGTAAGAATGATTTCTAGATTCATCTTAACTTTTAAAATACCTTTTATTCTAAAAAAAATCCTTCACTTTTTCTACTTTTTTTATTTTTTAAAATTCCTGTAATTACGAGATATAACCTAATTTTTACCCTTTTAGGATGAGATAGACAGTCTCTTTCAGTAATTTATCACCAAAATTATTCTACAGCCGATGTTTTGTTTCATAATATTTCAATATTAGTACCAAATTTGATCCAAAAATCATTTGCGGGATTATCAGATAATTAATGTTGATCGCATAAATAAAAATATCCGAATACTGCTCTCATGTCCATATCATCTGTATTTATATCATTTCGACGTCATTATTAATTTGTAGCTATTCTTTGAATAAAACTGTTGATACAGCTCATACATTGTTAGTACTCGTACTTAATTGTTGGTACTTTTACATTTAGAGTAACATATTTTTTAGCTTTGGCAAAAGACCTGTAATGGTAAAAAATAATGGTACCGTGCGAAAATCAAATGAGATTATTACATTAAAATGACAACATATTTATGCAGTAATAGTAATTTTGCATAAAGATATGAAAATACTAAACCGGATAACTGAGGATCAGAGTAAACTCAGATTATGACCAACTCACTACCTAGAAATAAAATTTTAATTCGGAATTAAACTTCCTGAAAAATATAATCTTTACAGTTTGTAAATTAATTCAGATAGAAAAGATGCAGATAAAATCTAATTCCACAAACTGACATATCTTTGGCGTTTTGAGAGACAATTATTCTATGAAACTGAATCATTCGATTTCCAGGCGAGTGTCCATAACTCTTAGTATTTGAAATTAAATCCTTACATAAAAGAATTTCATCAACTGTTAACAATTATTCTGTGACGTTTATCTATTTGTTTTTAACTAATAGTTCACTTTAAGTTCAAAGACTTTCCTATTACTCTCTTTTCCCCATGCTTTTCATGCCAGAATGTAAAAGAAATAGCGAGAGTTTATTAAAATTAAGGTAGAATGAAGTGCTATTTAAGCAAGGAGTTTCGTAAGTTATTTTCAGAGCGTGTTTGCCTATTCCAAGCCACGTTGTGCTGTGATTATTAGCAACTTGCGTTAGCGGCGTTAAGTGTTCTAGTCATTAGGCTTATCTTCTGATTTCTGTTTTGTTTCACAAGGCTCGGAGATAATTCTTCCAGAGATCAGTTTAAAAGATTATGTTCCCAAAGGGGCATTACAATTCTTATTACTAACTATTGTAGAATTGAAACATTAATGTCAAAGTTAAGCATCTTATATTAATCTTTCAACGGTAACCATCTTATCTAATTATTTTACCTTTGCAAATAGTTGGATGATTTCTATACCTGGTATTGGTGCATTTGACATAAGCATTCTTCCGCCTGGACAAGTTAGATGCACCTCTTACACCACCGTTGTACAGGAACACAGTCAGCATATCGTCGATCTTCACTGTCGTGTTGGGAAAGGGAATAGGTTCCTAGAAAAGCACAAAATACGTACAGATTAAATTCTTTATTAATTTTTGAAAGTAGGTGACTACAAAAGTACTTCAGAATTCTTCTTTTGAAATATTGCGAAGACATTGATGAATGCAATAAAATACTGTGCGGCTTTATAATAAAAAGACTGAGTGTCTTGTCCATCTAAAAGTATGAATCATTGAAGTTGTTCAACATATTCTTCCTAGAATATGGATGGATGGACGGAAGAGGAATTTCTTCTAGATGCGAACTGTGTTGTTATTGACCCACAAAATAGAAATACACTCTGACAAAAAAAAAGTATATGCATCCAGAAGGAAACGAATTACTATCACGAAATCACGAAACGTAACATGTACGTAGTGTATGAGAAGATAAATAAATGATTACAAATTCAATACAAAAGATCGTGTGCGTTGATCATCACCAGTGAGACTGAATCGGGATTCATCGCTGAAGATCATACACTTCCAGTTCGGTCACACTCCAGCTTGCCCGGTTTCGGCAAAAATCCAATTGACACTGCCTATGATGTGGGGTCAGTGCTAGGTATCTTAATGGACGTCGGGAGCATGTATCTGCTTCAGCCAGTCGTTTCCGAATGGTTTCCCTTGATACTACCGGATGCCTGGCACGTGGTAAAGGGTGTCGAATCGATTCTAGCGACGTTGGTAGTTTGGACGTGGCCGCTCGTAAAAGATTGCGTGATCCTCGCGGTCATGTGTGTTGCTGGGACGCTCTGACCCTCTGCGACTATGGACAATCCCTTCCGTGATCAATTGCCGTTAACACCAAGCAACTATCATTTTGCTTCGACCGATGTGGCGGCCGATACGCCTGTTGAACCAACCTGCTTCTCTGAGGTCTATTATACGCCCCTTCTCAAAATTCGACAACCATGCGTCCTGCCGCCGGTTACGTCTCAAAGGCATCTCTAGTCACAATAGACAACATCATTCCATCTAAGTCGATAGATTCGCTTGAATAGCCCTACGGATCTGGATCTGGATCGTAAATTTAAAGTCTGGCCTCTACCGCAAAGAGTAATCACCAGTAGATATCTTGGCTCTTGAGCTCTTTAATGTTTTAATTCAATCAAAGGCACACTGTCTTGTGTGCCGCGTCCTGGAGACGAAGAAACTAAGAATTACAGGTGGCAAGTCAGGAAAATCATTCCTTCGTGAAAATTCAAGCATTTAAACAAAGATGCTGAAATAAGTCCATTTAAGCAATAATGCCTTCGTAAATACATGAGTAGGTGCGGCTGAAGTCTTACACATAGTTAACAGCTTCGTGAGCATACATAGAGCAGGAGAAACAAGTACATCGTAAAGTCACATGACTTAAATTCAGATTGATCCTTGCTTTAAGCAGAGCGGTTATGATGATGAGACGCAAAAAGCTGATATCTAAAATATTTGTAACTTTTAACAATTTAGTATTACTGAAAATCATTTATATATGCCCTTTTAAGATTTTTAAATGGTAAAAAGAAGTCAAAACTTAAACATTGAGACGTGATAATTTTCTTTTGAAGGTAAACATTTATGCGGTCACGTACGGCTCGTAATCCAATGGAATTTAGCTGGGATTATTCTAACTGAACTTCAGAGAGTTAAGTAATTTCCACGTTCGTAAATATTTAAATTACACAGTTCAATGGCTTTGCAAAATCAAAGTCCGTTGAAGAAACACGAAAAACACATTTTAAAATAACACCAAACTTGGCTATATACAAAACCGGTGCACAGTTCGCTTTGTCAAGGTGATTTATAAAAATCACAAAGTCCTTGGTGCAAAACACTAAACACAAATTAGACAAAAAAAAGTGAGTAAATAAGATACGAAAAAAAATACGAAATATTTACATTATGTACAGCACCACCACCGTGGGTTGTGATGGATTGAACGCGAGCGTTTTACAACACTCTCCTGAGTGGGATCGTAGGTAGTAAGATTTCTTATGGCAGAGTAAGGAGAATTTTGCATACTTGTGAAAACATTGTGTTCTGTGCTCAGAATCTGTTCCTGAATTGGTAGAATTTTTAACTCTTCATAGAGCTGCGAGTTTCTTATGAACCGGGGAGCGTTTGTGATAGATCGAAGTATCTTGTTTATTAACACATTCATCTTCTGTGTGTCTGTTTTTGTTGCTGTAGCCCCAGGCCGATACGGCATACAATAAAACTGGGCGAATTAAGTTATATAAAGTGTTCTTTTAATCTTTAAATCCAATTTAGAATTTCGTCCTAATAACGGGTAGATTGCCATGAATGCTGCATTAGCTTTATTGTTCGCGTAAATCACGTGATCATGAAAAGAGAAAGTTCTATGAATATGCACTCCAAGATATTTGTAAGAATTTACAACAGGAATTGGGATATTGTCAATTTTTACGTCAATATTAAGCGGGAACCATTTTTATACCGTCTGTAAATCACTATGTTACATTTAGAAGGGTTCACTTTAATCTTCCATAGCTTGCACCATGCATCTATTTCATTAATTTGGTACTTCATCTTGTCTATAGCATTTTGAGGGTTCAGGGAGTTAGTTAAAACCACGGTGTCACCAGCATACTTTAAAACAGTTGAAGAGAAAGGCTGAGGCATATCATTGACAATAATGCAAAATAATTTTGGCGAAAGTACGCTTCCCTGTGGGACGGCTTTGTACATTACTTTCTGGAGAGAGAATCACCGCATCTAACTTGAAAAGTTCTTCTTTGAGAAATGAAATAATCAGTTTTAGAAGCTATAGGAAGTATGCAGTTTGAAAGCTTGTACACAAGTCATGCATGCCACACTCGATCGAAAGCTTTTTTCGAAATCGAGGAACATGCAGCGACTGCGTCTTTTTCTGGAAACTTAGAGCAATATGTTCTATTAAGTTTAGGATTTGGTGTGTCGAGAATGGCCTCTCCTGAATCCAATTGGTTGTTCGTCAATAATTTTCATCTTTCAAGGTGAGTAGTCAAATGGTCATTTAAAATTCTCTCGAAACTTTTCCTAATTGCCGGGAGTAAGTAAATAAGGTCTGTAGCTTGTGACTTCATGGGGTTTTTTTCCCTGGTTTTAGTATCGCACGTAATTATAATTGAATGCTTCCATTGCTGAGGGAAATGTGTGAGTCAAATGCATGCGTTAAATATGTTACAAAGTAGCACAATACAGTTTCTTGGAAGTACTTGCAGAGCCTCATTGTTTATTTTGTCGTACCCTCTTGCCTTTCGTTTTTTGAGTTTTTTAATAATGCTTTGAACTTCGTTTGGAGAAGGGAATTTAATGAAGTTAGAATTATGCCGGGATTTTATATTAACTATTTCTTGCTTAACTTCTTCCAATAGCCCTACAGCATGAACAGTCATGCTTTGAATCTCTCCCATTTGCGCATAGCGCGCTTAGACTTGTCTTATTGGTGTAGAAATTTAAATCGCTTATATACCTCTTACCAGATTAAATTCCTGTCGAGTTTCGTTATTTTGGCTCGATTTCTTCTGGTTGCATATATATATTGTGACAGAATGTATTTTAAAGGCTTTTAAAGTCTGTATCAAACATTAGTTGCAACGAAAATATTTGAAGGTATGGGAATGCTCAGTGCTACCTGAATGGACGAGACCATAACAGTATTTATTGAACATTTAGTATTTGTAGCGGATTGCAGTGAGTCTCATAGTTTTAATGAGGGAAAAAAGTATTTTCTTTAATTATCCTAGATTTCAAATTACAGTTTTTGCGTTAAAAATCTTGGAAATATAATTTCAATTTGACCATTTTCAAACAGGTTTAACTTTTATCTTACCTGGAATCTAATCAGACGTCGACCGAATCGGAGTAAAGTGTCCACGTATTCATCCAGACCTTCTCCATTTTCGCAAGGAACCTGTCGTTTACGACGTGAGCTTCTTCCCTCTCTCTCAGCCGTTGTTGGTTCATCTTCTGACTTATATTCACTCTCTTCTACGAAGGGAGAAGTATCGCCTATACAAACCAAAATAAATCAAAAGTTTTGAAATCTTTTCGAGACTAAATGTAATTGAGAAAGAAGCATGTCCAGTGCTGTTTTTAAATTCAGAAATATTTCAAAAAGTTATTAAAATGGAACAAATGTGTATGAATGTATCCGATACGCAAAAATGTCAGTCTCGAGGTAAAAGAAATTTTTCCCTCCTGAAAGGGAAATATTTAGGTCAGAATTTAACTATGCCAAAACAGTTTAAATAAACAAACCAATTTAAAACAGCGCTAATCGCAACGAGAACTGTACTAAAAACGATTTAATCGACAGATGAAATTTTTCTGTAGTACATCTTCTAACAATAAATAAATAAATAAATAAAAATAAAAATAAAAATAAAAATAAAATAAATAAATAAATAAATAAAAATAAAATAAAAAATAATAAAAAAAAAATCAGTGTCGTTTATAATGCTATTTTAATTGTGATCGCTGCTATCGATATGATAAAAAGACCTCGATCAGGGAAAATTCGAAATAAAAATTTCCTTCTCAACCCAATGTTCGGTTTTGCAATTTATTTTAACGCAACCTTTTATAATTTACGCTTTAAAAATATTTTTTTTAATTCTACCCAAATTTCGGGGGCACTGTGTGCTTTAATCAGTCAAAATAAGTACTCAATATTTTAAGAAATGATATATTAGTTTGTTTTAAGTTAGTACACTGTGTGATTAGAACAATTTAGTAAACCTCAGTTTGACTTCTAGAAATATACAGCATATTATTTTTATGTTATTAATTTTTCAATAAAAATATGAAAATTCCAGAGAAATGTCTAAAGTCATCATAATAAATAAATCATTAATTCTTTTCTTAGTCTCGCTAAAATGTAGTATTATTTATTAGCATTAATTAACTATTTTGTGTTAAATATTGTTACTAAATGCCCAGCTGCGGTAAGATAGCTTCCCCACAAAGCGAGGTTAGAGTTGCCAGAAAGTGTCAAGGAAAGGCAGGGTTGCCAGATTTGGCGCGAAATCGCCCATTTGGTGATAAAAATAGGCCATATGCCTTAGGTGGATTTTCATCGGTTTTCCCGAGAATATTCTCGGCAGCAGGTTAGGAATACCCTGCCTATACGCGGAGTAGCAGTATGTTGTGAGGAGTATGTTGATTTCAGTAGTAATGTTTTGAGTTTAGAGATTAGCTTACGACCGATCGACCGATTTGGGATACGTACTTGAGAGCTTTGGCGTGAAGTTGTCTTCACCGTTGTGTAGCTGATTGTTTCAGCATGTTTATCGTAGCTTTCCGACGACTGTAAAAGTGTCTTTGGAACTCTCTTGTGTTACACTGGCGAATAAATTGTGTTTTCATTCTTCATCAAGTGTTACCGTCATTTACTCTAAAACCACGAACTCGTACGCAACAATGTAAATGATAGGAATATACTTAACCGTTGAAAACAAAATATTTTAGTATACTGTTACGCATAGCAGTGAAATTCTTACCACAAAGTAGTGAATGCTTGTAAGAGTAAAAATTAAGTATATTAAGTACATAAAGTACTATATAAAGATTTTATATTACGCCCAAACGGCCGTTTTTGTCACTTACGCACACATACACGTTTCGAGAGCATTTGGGCTAAAATATATTTAAAAGCAACATATCTTTAAAATTTCCCGCGCTGGAGATAAAAATATTTTTTTTCGGAAAAATGTTGCCTTTGCTCGCTTTGAAATCGTTGAGTGTATTAATCAAAAATTCGTTAAAGTATAAAGAAATATGAAATAGACAGTAAACCAAATTCCAAATTCTGAATTCGGGCTTCGAGGTACTGGTATTCGAATGGAGGACTATGTTTTGATGCCTCTAGGTATCGTTGTTTTTTCACAATACGAGAAACAAATACATGCATAAACCCTTCATTATTTAATTTCTTTATTACAGGGCGATAATATTTGGTGGCAATAATTTGAAAAATGATTCAACCTTTTATAGTGATTCAACGCAAAATACCGTTTCAAGACTAATATTCCATACGGGACTAACGTCCCTTTTGGGCTAAAAATGTTTATTATATCCAATGACAGGCCATATTCTCTCCGGGTGGGCATAAGTCAACTAAAAATTATTTATATTAAATATTATTATATATAAATAAATAGCTAGAAATAAATAAAAAAATAAAAAAATAAATAAAAAAATAAAAAAGCTCGAAACTAGCGTAAAGAATTAGTATTTGTCATTTAATAGATATATTAGTTTACACTTTTCCCTTTCAGCTGCGAATGTCGTCATATTTATCATTTTTCTCCGTAATTCGTTATAACAATGAGCTGTGACGTAACAGCTCTGTTTTGGGGACATTACGTAACGCTTTCGAGACATGAAAATCTCAAGTTAAATTTCGTCAATCGGCATTAGCTTCTTTTTGAAGGTCACTTTTTAACTTATAAAAGCACCCCCATAAAAGTTACGGCAATCTTTATTTAAGCAGGTCTTATACCAATAGGAGTTTCATTTGTTTAAAATCAAAATAGAAAACTAAAAGCTACTTGCATAAAAGTACCCCTGCATAAGGGTTCTGTTACCTTCATGAGAACGTTTTTGAAGTTAAAAATTAACCTTCACAAAGGTGATGGTACCTTTATGCTCGAGCCCACATGTAAAAGGTTTCCCAGCTGGCAAACTCTAGCCAATCTTTGTAAGTGTATTGGTATTCTTAAGAAGGCATTCCATTTTTGCCAGCTTAGGCACCAATTTCAAATCATTTGTAACAAAATGTATAACATTATAGTTCATTAAAAACATCATTGTTCAAATTTGCACCCTCTCCAGAGGTCGACTAGGAAGCAATCCAGGGGTTTTGGCTAGGTAATTATCTAGACAGACTCGACTTCTGGGCAAACATCAACAGTCTTAACAGTGCTTTGCTGTGGGGATGCTTCATGGTTAGATTTCGAAGCTTGTCCCCAAGAACAAGCTTTAAAATTGGCTCACCTTGATCAACATTTGGAGGGCAGTCAATATTTAACATGCGTTCTATGCTTTTCAGTGGTTTCATTTCAGACCACCATTGTCTAAGCGTTACAAAACCCAGATTTTGTGAAACTGAAATTGTCCTCCTGAGTTGACAGGAGGGATTATGCGGTTTTGGATAGCCTGTAGGTGTTGGAGCGATTAACCGTGTAAGGCAGCCTCGAGCAAGCCAGGTCTGGGTGCCCCTTCTTCCTAATACACTGTTCAAATTTGTTAAAAGGGTAGTCAATGGCAATGGAAACATTAATGCTCATGAACATCGAAACACATTCAAAATACGTATTATGAACGTAACATCATCACACAGTATTACAAAGGAGTTAATAATAGTCACCATTGACTAAGCGTAAGTTACTATATTCTGAGTTAAAATTATTGAATAATACAAATATGAATATGACTTTTTCTTATAAGTATAAATATGACTTCTAAAGTGTAAGTTACTATATTCTTAGTTAAAATTATTGAATAATATAAGTATAAATATGACTTTTTTCTTACTTTCTAGGAGCTCAAAATCAGGATCAATTACAGTAGAAGTTGTGTCGGCGGGCAGAGGTGGATACATTTCGAACCATGAAGTTTGTTTTGATCGTCCCATAACATGAGCGATAGCTTGCTCAAGACCTTCTTCTGCGAGCCGCTGAACTTTCTCAATGACAGCGCTGCTGACTGCTTGCAAGAGCTCACCGGCCTTTTCCAGCGCGCCTTCATTTTTCTTTAAAAAGCTAGTAAATGTATGACTTGCAGCTTCCCAGTATGTTCTGAAGGAGGCTTGACTCAAGGAAAGAATGGAAGAATCTAGAAAGTAAAGATATTTAAGTGCATTTATTTAAACAGTTACTTTTTTTTTTGAAATATTTATAAAAGATATATGTTGTGAGGTTTGTTTTAGTAAATGTAGTCAAAACTCCATTATTGCACACTACACCTTTTGCGGACATTTTGATTTAAAGAACAAATTTTGAAATGCTTGTCTCTATAAATATGAAATCAACGTGCTTCCATTCAGTTGACAGCTTTTAACAACGGACAAAATCCCTGGTGCTATGAATGTCCGATAAAGGCCATTCTGTTCGTTCGTACAGATGCCATGTAAAAAAAATTTTTTTGAATAGATTCGAGAGAGATCAAATGTTATATTTTCGTTGAAATATGATGCTCGAAATTTTTCGCGATTAAAATCTACTTCCTTACTTCTACAAGGAAATAAAAATGGAACATTGTTGTACACTTTGTGGTCGTACATTATTAAATACATTAGTATTTGAATTTGTTTTTCACTTACATGTCATACGAGTATTCAACATTTACTTTTTTTCCCTCTGTTTTAAAACTATTCACATCCCAACGAATCTCTAAACACTTTGGAGAAGAAAGTACGTAAAAAATCTGTATACAATTCGGGTTATACAAATAAAACCTGCAGTTTTCAAATGTCATGTGTAATTTTCATATAAACTAATAATTTAGAAAGACTGTCTTACCTGTGTCTGGCTCTTTGTGTTCTATCCTGCCTATCCATGTGGCCATAGCGTCGTTGACTTTAGCTTCAAACATGCCTTCATCTGTGAGTGACTGAGAAAATGGTGGGTTTAGGAAACCTTTCAATTTGTAGGTTCCTTTCACTCTTATTTCTGGAAACCTCAACAATACTGATGTGCGTAAGACGTCTAGGTTAGTAACAATGTCTCGCAGTTGGAAATTACCCAATCCTTCGACAAACATCTAAAGGAAAACGTATTGCATGTAATAGATAGTTAAATAATATAAACCGAATGACACGAATCGATATACAAAGAATACATAGTTTGCTTCTACAAGAAAAGTAACGTAAAGTTGTCCTGGAAAACCTAATAAAACTAATGTATTTTCAAAAATAATCAAATATTTTTACTACTTTTTTAGTATTGAAAATTCGCAAAGAACCAAAGCTAAAATTGGACGCTGAAATAAGGAGCTTAAGTTTGTTAAAAAGAGAAACAGCGGAAAGAAGGATTGTCAAATGTAATTCACTAGCAAATTATTTGTATCATGGAAAGAGCTAGGATTACCATATCCCTCTTACTGTACGACTGAGATCTGTACTCTGACAATCTCGGCTCTGGGAGTATAAAATACTTGAACCTGGGTTACTGTAACCTATGGACGCAGACTATAAGGTATTTCTCCCGCCTTTTTAGCATGCCTTCGTTGTGTAATGTCCAGCAGACTGGCGCGTATTCGAGAAGTGGTCGGAGGTTCGAGTCCTGGCGAGGGCATTGCTCATTTTTCATGTCTCCTGCTTCTAAGTAACATAAGGTTTCTACAAGACAACCCAACTAAAATGGGAGCCCATAGAGCAGTTGGTGTTAAAACGCTCCTTACTTGGTAGCACATTTTGATGAACAATCTTTTTCGTTCAACATCTTTTGTGGTGTGTCTGCCTTCCACTCCTTCGTGGTCGATCCCTGAACTTTACGACCCCGTGACTCCAGCCGAAAAGAAGTACACAGAGGTGACTTGTGTAGTGAACCCAAGAAAGGCGTCCGGAACACGTAATCTCTCACCATATTACCTCCAGCCCCGATTAAAAAAATAAAGATTAAAAAACTTTAATAAAAAACTCTACAACAGCACTCAATTAGGCCCACCAGCGGCCGATCGGTAAAAGCCGCTGAACACTGGTAGTTCGGTCCGGGGTTCGAATCCCGGCGAACGGGTTGGCTGCATGGGCGTTTTCGTGGTTTCCCCCATGTGTAATGTGGATACGAGCCAGTTTCCCTTAAAAAGGCCTCCACGGGGCATCCCTCCCTCTCCGTGTAGTGCCTAAGGGCGAAGCACATAATAAGTAAGTAAAACAGCACTCAATTAAAATAGGAGCTTGACGCCGGGCCTCTAACCTCGGACCTCTCGAATGCGCTGACCACTACACCACGAAGGCATGCTAAGAAAACCTGAGAAATACTTTGTATACTCCCCTTTTTAAAGGGAAACTGGTGATTAGGGAACCCAATCCTGGTGGTGGAGAAGCATCATCCACCACCCTTTTTTAGTTCGGGGGCCACTGTAGATACATTATAATTTTCTGGAAACAAGGAAATCGAAGCAATGATTAATGCCATCCCCGGGACTCGAACCTCGGACCTCTCGAATACGCGTCGAGTGTACTGAGCGCCGCCTGAGATAACCACTGACCTGACTTTGTTGTAAAAGTCTTACAGTGTTAATAGTCATCCTGGCAGAAGGGAAAATTTCCTCCGTGTAAAAATATACATATAAATATTACATGGGCATACAAGGCCTGTGTATAAGCATAGATATGTTGATTACAATCATTGTCTTGTAAAGTTACATTGATAGATACATTAAAATCATGACAGCTATGTGTACATTTAAACATTATATGAATTCATATTTACAATACTTTTACTGAGATAATCAAATTAAACTTTGTAATTCATTTACACATTGACTGGATTTTCAATATCATTTAAACTGCTTTATAATATTATTTTTATCAAGTACATACAAACTGGATAGTAATATGCTTACATTACAATAGTTTTGCTCTTACAGTCCTGTTATTATTCTACGGGGTACGGGGTGAGCGTCGAGTGTACTGACCATTACACAACGAAGGCATGCTAAGAAGGCGGGAAGAAATACCTTATACCAGGGGTTCTAAACCTTTTGACTAACGCGTACCATCTAAACAAAAATTGAAAACCTTTAGTACCACCACTACAAAGTACCACTACAATCACCACTCTTGAACAAAGCTCATATCGCATCAATTTACGAGTGTTAGATAAAAAACTCAATTAGGATGTTGGGTTTTAATTTTTGAATTTAATAGATAAAAATACTTTGTTTCTTTTGCGTACCACCAGAACTCCTGCCTTCATCATTGGACTTCATCATTGGGATAAATGTGAGCTAGAAGACATATCGCTTAAAGCAGGCTGAAGTAAATGTAATGGCTTTCAGCTGAATGCTACTAAAAGGAATTGCTACTAAAATTCAAAGATACTAAAAGGAAGTAGAAGTAGCGACTTTTCATAGTTCATTTTAGAGAGTACACTGAGCGATAACGGTCTTAACTTCCCAGATGAAAATGTTTTCAATGAGTTTAAGTACTGCAGAAATACTTGAATAGACCAGAAACTCGCTCAGAATGTAGGAAAACTATTCTCTAGAATAATACCAAATTCCGTCTTAAAATGCAGTAATTAGGAAGTCTGTCTGTACACCTGCTATTAGCGCCTCGTTAATATTAGGTGTAGGTAAAGACAAGGTAAAAGAGATTTATTGAAAAAACGTTAACTGTCACCGTAAAGGACAGGAAAATATAATTTAGAGATTTTATTAAAGGGTTTTAGAGCATAATTGATTTTATCGATATATTTTGATAGAAACATGACATACGAATATTGAGCTGAAATCTCTAATGCAGATTTTCTATATGCCTATGTGATAAATATGATAATATGTATTACCCTGAATTCAATGAGGTTCGGGGTTCGAGTCCCGCCAAGGGCAGTGCACATTTTCACACCTCCGACATAAAAAAATCCTAATGACACCACAGTCTGATGCGAGGAAGATAACTTCTATAATTAGCTGTAAACCTAAATTTAATTGAACAGATTTTTTGCTCTGTTTGTTGCAAAGCATTTATACCTAAAGTCAGAGCTGATCCTAGTTTGGCGGGGCAAGATGGTGCACAGCACGTGGTCGACCAAATTTAAGGGCGGGGAAATTATTATCAAACACATTTTATTTATGTATAAAAGGGCGACTAATTTTAATTTGCACGTGGACGGATGGTGCTGTAGAATCGGTGCTGCCTACAGCGCAATTTAAGTACCTTAAGTTGCTCTTAAGTACTTAAGTAACACCTGTACTCATAGAATAATTATTGGAAATGCGGCTGAGTAAGTCGTACTACCTTTGAAACTCCAAATTTCTGCTAAAGCTCTTTTAAAAGAAAATAAATTCACTCGCGCATATTTCGGCAGTTACTTTATATAGCGTCAAACTCTAATGAACTATCTTATTATTAAACGGCGACAGTCTTAAAGTAGTATAATTCTCATTTTTATTTATAATTTTTTACCTCTTAATGTTGTAGGGACATTAGGTATTTTTGGAAGCAGCCAAGATAAAAAAGGAGCTACGCCTTTGCCAGGAAACGAACCACGGACCCCTGGAATACGCGTCCAGAGTGCAGACCACCACACCACGAAGGCGTGCCAAGAAGACGGGAGAAATACCTTATATACTCCCTCTTTTAAAGGGTGACTGGGGTTTTAGGGGATCCATTCGCCAAATCCTGGGTGTGGAGAATCATCATCGAACGCGCTTTTAGTTCGGGCGATACTGTAGAGACATTAGGTGTTTTTGAAAGCAGGCAAGATGAAAAATGAGCAACGCCTTGGCCGGGAATCGAACCACGGACCTTTGGAATATGCGCCCAGAGACGAAGAAGGCGGGAGAAATACCTTATAATGTTATTAACATAAGTAGCAGTCACAAAAGGGGCTTACAATCTTAATGCTAAAGTTTTACTTTTGTAATATTATTTAATTACTTTTTTTTTTTTTTTTTTTTTAATAAAAGCTGCTAAATGAGCAGAAAAGGCTGAAAATCTTTCAGACGGAACAGCTGCTCATTCTGTGATTTCCTGTTGCTTTGCAGAGTCATTAGATTATTTTTTGAAGCAGGAGACATGAAAAATGAGCAATGCCTTCTCCGGAACTCGAACCTGGACTTCTCGAATACGCGCCGAGTGTGCTAGCCGTTATACCAAAAAGCAATGCCAGAAGGAGGGAGAAAATACCTTGTGTTACTGTGTTATCTTTAATCTATTATCTCTGTTTCCATTAGACAGGTAATGAATACTTGAGCACATAATCTACTGTGAGTGCAGTAATTTATAATCATTGTAAACTATACAAACGTATAAAATACTTTATGTCTAATAATTTAATGTATTTTAATGCCTATACCTTCCTCAAGGAGACATTCACAAATCCTTTGGGTTCTTGAACCGTCAAGGTAAGAGGTTCCATCTTGAAAGGATCAAGGACCGGAATGTGTCCCGCTGGACTTCCATGAAGAACTGCATTTTTGGCTTCGGACATTTTACCTATGAGTACGGAATGCAGACTGTGCAAAAGTGGATCCTCTTCTTCGAGGCTCTGGGATTCTCCAGCTGAAAGGAAATGAAGCTCGTGTTAAGTAAGTAAAATTAAGGGACAGTTTTATAAATAATAAGAAGCATGTCAAATTCATAATTAGTCGAATTCATTCATTTAGCCCTTTTATAATTATGGTATCACTTCTTTTAGAGGTAACAATTTTCAGCGTAAATTTATTTATAATAAATACTCAAGTAATATATATTCAGTATTGAAAAAGCAATATTTATCTAGATTTTAAAAATAAAAAAAAATATTTATTTATTTTTTGAAAGCGAGATAGGTGCTCCTGGATCTTGACTCCCGTAGGCGATACTCTAGGCTTTCCGTGGCTACAATTGTTCTTCTATTTTCTTTATTGTTGAGTGTGATATTAATTGAAAGAAAGAAAATTTAAGAAAATTATGTAATAGCTATCAGTTATCATTATTTTATATTATATCATTATTTCTACTTCAAATCCTTCTTTTTGTGTAAGTATATAAGGTATTGCTCCAACAGACGATCTATCGAATTTTGTTAGTTAATCAGTTTTCTATTAGATGACGCCACTCTCTTTTCAGGCTCGTTTGTAAAAGCAATGTTTATGCTTAACGTTTCTTTCACATGCAATTTTTCTGTTGAATTTGCGAAGAGTTTTTTAAATGCTGTCTTCGAACCTTTGTTATCAATGTACTCTCAAATAAATTTCACGCTCACATTACAAAGAGTTGAAATAAGAAGCAAGTACGTTTTGAAACAATTAAAATAGCAGTACAAAATCGGGTGTATTTAGTCTAACCTTTTATCTGTTTCATTCACTTAAATGCGCGAAATTCTTGATATAATCTATACCCATAGCATTTAGAGGCTCAGTTTTAGTTACATGAATATCGTGTAATTCATTGAAATATTTAAACATGAAATATTTAAACTAGCTAACATGAAAGAATGAAATATAACTGAAAAATGAAATATAACAGGAAATATTTAAACTAGCTAATATAATTTTAAAAATATTTCACCCCTTTTATTCACACACTAAAAGTTTTTTATACGCAGCATAAAACACAGCAAAAGAAATAAATATTTTTCAAACAAAAAAAATTACTAATATTAAATAATAAAAAATGTGATCATGCAAATCTGAGTAAAATGGGCGGAAGAAAAGAAATGTTTAAAAATAAAGATTTTAGTGGTGTTACCTATCGATTCATAAAGTTACAATACGGTTAAGTAAAGAAGATCCTTTATTGGGAGAATACCTATGCATCGTACCTTTTTACGAATAAGCACTCAGATAACAAAAATAGGTTTTGCTACCTTCTGATGAACATATTTACTTAATTATAAAAAGTCTCATGATATTCATGACGTAATTGTTTTATGTATACCTTCCTATTCCTCATCCCTTGATTTTAAAATTTTGTTTTATACATTCAAAATAAAGTTATGCATTTAACTAAATATTTACATAAAGTTATTAATGTGTGAAGGGCGATTAAAGTTAATCAAAAATATTGTAAAATAATTCTTAAATTTGAAATGTTTCAATTAAAAAATTAATTGTTTTAAATGGACAGGAGAAATGATGGGATGAACAGAAATTTCTGTATTGTCCCAACTTGCGATGTACCGAATTTTGTTAGTTAATTACTTCTATAGTAGATGGCGCCACCTCTTTTTTCAGACTACTTTGTTTGCAATATTATTTTCACATGTAATTTTTCCTTTGAATTTGCGAAGAGCTTTTAAAATACTGTCTTCGAATCTTTGTTATCAATTTACTCTAAAATAAATTTCACGTTTACATTACAAACAGTTGAAATAAGAAGCAAAAGAAATAACTGCTATCTTAAGAGGCAACATGGTTTAATTTATCTCTCTTAAATTTATTACTTCTCTTTTTTCAGCACTCTGCTCGCAACAAATTGTTTGTATATAGGTTTTTGAAACAACTAAATAGAGCAGTACAAAATCGGGTGTATTTTGTTCCCGATTTTGTACTTCTCTATTCATGCATATAGCTAATGAAACATCCTACCTGTTTCATTAGCTATATGCTCGAAATTCTTGATATAATCTATATCCATAACATTTAGGGGCTCACTTTCAGTTATATTAATATGCAGTAATTCATTGAGATACTTAAACCAGCTAATCTAATTTGAAAGAAAAAAATATTCCCTAGCTTTCACTTTGAACGCGCGGTAAAATGACGGAAGAAGAAAATGTGAAAGAACAACAATTTTAGTGGCGCCACTATCGATCCGTAAAGTAACTACATAATTAAGTAAAGTAGATCATCTACTGGGAGAATACCTAATTTCTTTTTTTAATGTGTAGTTATTTAAACTCTTCTCTTCAAGACTTGCAATTTAAACGAAGAAAAAGTATTCGTTGTTGCTAGTTTGCAATGATATCACAATGAAAATTAGCACTTTTATGACATGTCTTTTATAACACTAGCAAGATGTTGCTAATCATTAAAGTAATAATTCACGCTAATCATCAACGTGCTATTCACGTGATGATTAGCGTGAATCAAAGTTCTAATCATCAACGTGGCACGTTAATGATTAGGAACATGTTGCAAAGCACGCGATACGGCAAAGAAAGTGTCGCACCTGTCTGTGGGCAAGGAAGTCTTGGGAACCTTAATGACATAACTGGAATTTTGCTAGCTCCAGCCGATGATAATTGCGATTGTTCTGCAGGATGGAATCCAGGGTATAGTAAATCTTTCCCCCTATCAACAGTCTCCCCAATGATAATTTTGCGTCATAATTCATTTCCGAGGTCGGCGTTATGCAACTACTCCTTGCTGATCATAAAAGCAATATCAGATCCCACACTGAAGTGACTCGAATAAATGTTTTATTATTCTCTCATATATTCTTAGAAGTTTAATTCTCGAAGTCACTGGTTCTTGATACAAGCTACCAGAGCCTCAAATTAAATAAGAATTTTATACGTGCTATGACTTAGGCTCAGTTTAGGTATTTACATATTAAAGCAACCATCTTAGTAGAAGCCGCCAAATTTTCAGGATGGGGCAAACTTTGGCAACCATGCGCATAACCATTCTTCCGAAGGGGGGAAAAAATCCCTAACTTTTCACTTTGAACGTGAGGTAAAAGGGCGGAAGAAAAAGATGTGTAAACACAGCAATTTTAGTAGCGCCACCTAACGAGGTTCTTAGAAATCGTTTCAATCAAGCAACGCCGCCAATTTCGTATGCATTGTTTTTAATTTTATTCCAAGTACAAACGGTTTTTTATAAACAAATCGTGATATTTTTTGCCTTAGTTTTAAAATATAAGTTTGTAGAATTTGCCAACAATGTAAGAAACTGTGGTAAAATATCTGCAGGTAGAAAAAACTTTGCTGAACATTAGGTGACGTTTTTAAGCGAAAACTGATCTCTGTGTACTTCTTGAGACGAGTAACACACAAACACATACAAAATTTACAGAAACATTTGAAGAAGAATGCAAGTGTTTTATTTTTAATGTATCACTTAATCCTTATTTAATAATTCAAATTTGTATTTTAAATTGCTGAAATGAGTTTTCTTTTCATATGTCGATAATGTTTACCGACTTACCATAAACCTCAATAATTTGGAAATCTTTCTTAAAAAAGGCGCGAAAACATCAATTTGCACCCGATTAGTAGCTTTTACCTTTTCATCTGTAAAAAATCGCCAAATTGCGCCAGGGTGGTTCCGTTAATACGTAAGTACTGCAATAAATTCTTTTGAGAACCTTATGTTGCTTCCCATTATTCAAAACAGCCAACCACTGCAGAACATTAATCTTACCATGTAAAGGAAAACCTGTAATCTATTACGTGGAGATGGAAATTTCCTTTCTGACAGCTGATTAGACGGAAAGCTGAAAAATCAGCAATTTTTTCCCGAAAGGAGGAGGGGGGAGTGACGCTTTTTTTTCCACTGCTAAATTTAGTAGAAAAGCTTTTTTTAAATAATTGATTGTCCTTCTTTTAGTTTGATTTATTTGATTATCCCATAGCAGACGCGAGTTAACTGCCTAAGGGAAGCAATGCTTCTGTGGAAGACTTTCTAAGGGTAACTGTCTTGTATCCACGTTACACATGGGAAAAACTCTAGAGACGCCGATATAATCATCATGTTTGCCCGGAATGCCCCAGGATGAACTACCGTTTTCAGCGACGTTATTGCTCGACTACTGGTGAGCCTAGTTTATTGTTTTAAACAAGTAGATATGTGATAAAACTTTTAGAGAGATTTCAATGTATTTCATGAACTGCTAAGTGGTGGCAAATGTTTTACAAAATAATATGTTCTAATATTCCTAATAATTTAAGCTAATTCCGAGAAATGAAAATATTAATCTTACATAAGACACTTTTTATTACTTTAATTTCATCCCAAAATTGAACAAAATTCAAATACGAAGATATGCAAAACAGGAAAATAAGAAAAATAAATGGCAGGGGATTTGATGGCAGCAGTTCACGAATGTGATTAGATTAATAATCCTGTAATTTGACGAAAACAAGATTAGCATTTCCTTGTTTCTAAATTTACAGCACATAATTTCTACATTTCTGCTACAAACGAGCCATTAGAAAGAAAAGTAAGTTGAACAGTAAAAATCATTAGAACTGTTATCTTAGTTTTTATTTACAAGCCTGTAACCGCAACGAGATTTCTAAAAAAGAATCTTGATTGACCGCTGTTACAGTTAGATCATGTAACAAGAAAGACTACGTACATCTCATGTTAAAGTTAGACAACAACAATAGCTCCACTAAGCGTTTAAAAAAGAAGAAATGAAAAAAGGGGGGCGGAGAAAAAACAACAACGTTGAAAAATCCTCTTCGTCATTAGACGGGGAAAATGAGGGCACTTGTCGAGGTTCATTGAATCCGAAAGCGTTGTATTATTTTCACTTATATTTTCGACTCACTTGAACGACTCGTGGCACGTAACGGTACTCCTTATACGTGTGGTTTGCAGTCATCGAATATGAAAAGTTTTTGTATTTTA